CTGCTACCGTTCGCTAGCCACAGCTACCCTAGCCTAGCCACTGCTCCTCCCAATCAGATTGTACCCAATCAATATCTCCTAGCGCCTTACAAACTACAAACAATCCCCCGACATTTGTCAACTTTTTTTTCAAGATCTCTAGCAACTTTGCTCTCGTTAATATTTTTATCCTATCTGATGTGTTTCTGTGTGTGTGCGGGGGGGGGGGGGGGGGTATTGCATGTTTTGTTGAAGAGAATGCATGCCTGTAGTTAAGGTTTTTTTTCTTACATTGTCAACATATGCATGGTTTTCCTGAGTTTGATGATATTCCAAGTTTTTATAATCAAAGTTTTATTATCTATTTCGTTTTATGAAGTTCAAATGTTTTGTTATAGTCTAGCTAGTGCTACCATTGCCTAGCCTTCTACCATACCAAAGTTTACAGTTAGTCTATGTATGTAGAGAAATATGTATGTTTTGTTCTAGTCTAGCTAGTGCTACCATTGCCTAGCCTTCTACCATACCAAAGTTTACAGTTAGTCTATGTATGTAGAGAAATATGTATGTTTTGTTCTAGTCTAGCTAGTGCTACCATTGCCTAGCCTAGTTCTACCATACCAAAGTTTACAGTTAGTCTATGTATGTAGAGAAATCTGTATGTTTTGTTATAGTCTAGCTAGCCTAGTTCTACCATACCAAAGTTTACAGTTAGTCTACGTATGTAAAGAAATCCGGCCATTTTCATTAAAGGGGACATGTCGGGAACTTAATTCAGAAACTAATCTCTACCTTAACCTAACCCAGCTCTAACTACGTCGTATGCCAGTTAACAGTGTCTTTCTGTCCCTCCAATGTTGAAAACCTCCGAGTTGACGAGAATCCTTCCATAATATTGTTGACATGGATTAAAAAACGTGCTTTTGATTTTAGATTTTGCAATCAAAGCGACAGTAAAAATAATAAAAATAATAATAAAAACTTAAGCCTAAAAACAATTCAGAAATTTAATATTTTTAGAATCAATATTATAAAAGTTGCAAACCCAGAGAACTTGAAAATAATTGTTTGAGTTAAGGTCTAAATTTCTGTTTACTTACATCAAGCCTAAGCTATAACCCGATGTTTCACTTCTGTAAGCCAAATCTTGATTGGCTGTACAGATCGACACTCTCAAAACGCCACTTCATAAAAGTTTTATTGTAATTTGTGCTCAAAACTTTGCCGATACAGTTTTTTAATTACATTATTTTTAACAACACTTAGTGAAGACATGTTTGTTGTTGTTTTCAGTAATAAAATATACACAAACAAACTATATATTTATTTATTTTTTTAATTTTGTTTAGTTACCAAAAAATACTAAAACACTAATTACATCCAATCTTTAGTAAAGTCCAACAAAACCCAACCAGTCAGATTTGTATAATCATATTTATTTTAGTAACATCGTACATGATCTTTAAATTAATTAATGAGTCATTTGAATAATTTCGAGACTGTTCTCCGTTGGGTCCATTAAAACTACACTTGATGGTACCAAAGACCAATTGAAACAACACAACCCAAACTAATGTCTTGTCTCACCCCACGAGAAAAAAAATATTCACCAACTTCCTTCCAAGGTTGTCTTGTATCCAAACCGAAGTAAGAAATTGATTATTTTTTAATTTAAATCCCATAATCTGGACCCTATTCTTGATGTGAAAATTAAATATTGATTTTTACCTTATTAGAATGTTAACACTTCACCTGAAAAAAAAATTCTAGAACAAATAGGGCTTGTAAGTAGGTCAACAGCTTTTCGTTCTGGTACTTGCCAGCTAGTATTTTTCAAACCAAATGTGAATATTTTGATTAAGTCGGTGAAAAAATTTAATTCATCGAAAAGTTTCTTCCACTATACCTAAGTTATTTAAAATCGTAAACAATAATAATGATAGACTTCAAGATGTCGGCTAGCGTAAAGCAAAAAAATATATCTTACTTTTAAAGTGATTTTTTAAAAAAACAAGCGTACTGTTTGTTATTATTTATTCGAATCCCTAACAAGTTATCCTACTTAATTTGATTCTATTATTAGTAAAAAGCAAAGTTTAATTGTTGCATATTAGGTACTCTTGGTATTTTAAAATCGTGAAGCGAGGACCACCCGATATGTTGTGTTTTTTATCAATTAATGTAGTTCGAAAATTTAAAACTATAGAATAAGACCTCTTCATTAACCCCCCCCCCTCCGCAACTAGCAATGCCATTCCATTCTCCCTTCCAAACATACACGAGCTATGCAATGTTCCCTTGTTCGTCTAGTTCCCTGTATCTGTTCCTCGTCTAGTCAGTGCCGGCGCCAGATTATTTAGCGCCCTAGGCAAAACTTATTACAACGCCCCCTTTCACACAAATTAATTACTAAACATATGTATAAGAACAATTCATTAAAAGTGACTTATTAATTTATTATCAATTGCGTAAACGTTAAATGTAGACATCAAAATCAAATTTTACATGCCTCCTTCGTTGCAAACGTTTGTACTGATTCCTCCAATTCCAGTTTGCAAGTGTAATCACGTTTTATTGAAATTGTTGCTAAGTCCACGAGTCTACTTTGTACCTTACGACATAGCCACCCCCCCCCCCCCCCTTTAGAAAATTTTAAGTGCTTTCCTCCCCCCCTCCCCTCCCGGGGGGAAAAAGTCTAGAAAGAGAAAAAAACTTTTAAAAAAACTTCTTGTAGTGTTCGACTCTCTGAAATTCTCCCAAGAGGCAATTTAAGCTTGACTGTTTTCAGTCATAATTGTATAATGTCTATATTGTGTGATTATGTAATGATTTTTTTAAAAAAACAAAAGGTTATAAATGTTATAGATTCCAGCCTAAAATTGTTATATATGAATCCTTTAGGAGAGGGTGAAAAATATGAAAAGACAACTAATTAGACGTTTAATTTAAGACTAAGACTGTATGTCTACAAACATTAAGTATTGCAATCTACAACAGCTACTGATGTATTTGTTTTTCAACTTTATATTGCTAAAAAAAACCTACCAATCCATTTTGTTTAGAACTTAAGCTCTCTATATATATTTTTACAGTAACAAATAACTTAAAGTTGTATTTATATGTAAGCGGTCAACCTAAGGTGCAGGAATTTGAAATGAAAGTTAAGCAACGAATTATCTCCCATTTAAAAATCCAAATAGCAAAATTTTATTCAAGGGAAATAACTTTCACAAGAATTGCTAAATTAATCAAGTGTAACTAATACATGTTTGAAAAACACAATAAAACGCTCTAAATTTCACTATGTAATAATTATAACAGATCTTTTATGTTAGTTATGTAACCTTGTAAAAACAATATATTTTATCTATTGAATACTTAACTGTATGTTTTGTTTGAAATTCTAAAAATGGTAGCTTTATTATAACATACTTCTATTCATTTTTGATGACATACTTTAATCGTTGTCATTACTCCGTCATCATGAATATCAAATTTTGGATCCCCTAAATAAAGGGATGTCTTTCAAAATATCAAACACGGGTAACTGCTTTAGACATTGCTAGAATTATTGATTAAATATTTTTAAAATTTATAATTTGAAAAAAAAAGTTTACGATTAGTTATAAATTCCATCCTATTTAATATATATTAATACTTTAAGAGTGGTAATATAGATTCCTAAAAACCTAAAGATTTTTCAACTAGAGAACGCCTACCTTTCTTTATAGTGTGTTCCGTACTGAATTGAAATCATCTAACTTACGATAAACTCGACTACTCGGTATACTCTACTACATTCACAACACATATCAAACTTCGATACAGAAACAGAACTACACCCGATGCTCCAGAACTACGACACCAACTCGTTTAACTTCACCAAGCTCTACAAACGGTACTCCCAATCAACAACTATTTCACTGGACCTACTACTACACTTTAATAGTCAATATAATTCGATACCTTAATACCACAAGAATCAGTACTCCCGAACTCCAGAACTGCGATACTTCATCACCTGCATTCTCATTTCTCTATTACCAATCAGATTCCACTAGACATTCAACTACAAAACAGCCAAATGAAAATTATGACTCTTTAACACCTCGATACTTTATACCTACGAAACCATATCAGCAACAGCCTTCCGCCGTTACTCCCAAATCTAAACGATTCATCAAAACATACCAAACAAGTGACAATACTTTGAACACCCCGTCAATTACAAAACTCTATACACCAGGACAAATTTCAAAGTCAGAGAAAACCAGACTTACAAGCCCTATTAAAAAGTTCGACATTTAAATTAGGAACTTATTTAATTGTTTCTACATCAATTCTGTGACACCAAATTAAAAAGTCAAAGTGACTGGTAAAAAGCGCCCCAACCTTTCCAACTTAGCCTATATAGACCTAACTTTGGGGTGGGGGTGCAGAAGGGATAGTTCTTCTTGGGTGCCGAAATAGATCGCAACTCCTTTATAAAAGTTATTAATTACTTGAGTTACTTTTCGATAATAGCGATTAAACCTTTTGCGCCCCCCTAGGGATGGCGCCCTAGGCGACCGCCTAGTTCGCCTTATAGGTAGCGCCGGTCCTGCGTCTAGTTCCCTGTATCTGTTCCTCGTCTAGTTCCCCGTATCTGTTCCTTGTCTAGTTCCCCGTATCTGTTCCTTGTCTAGTTCCCCGTATCTGTTCCTCGTCTAGTTCCCCGTATCTGTTCCTTGTCTAGTTCCCCGTATCTGTTCCTCGTCTAGTTCCCCGTATCTGTTCCTTGTCTAGTTCCCCGTATCTGTTCCTTGTCTAGTTCCCCGTATCTGTTCCTCGTCTAGTTCCCCGTATCTGTTCCTCGTCTAGTTCCCCGTATCTGTTCCTCGTCTAGTTCCCCGTATCTGTCTCTGCAATACGGCGGCGAATGATTAACGACGTCCTGATATCCAATGTTGCCAAAATGTGATAGCACCCACTTAGCAACGAAATCTGGCCAAAATACTGAACCATCTGTCTCCTTCTCCCAGATACAGCCCTCCTTCTCCCAGAGACAGCCCTCCTTCTCCCAGAGATAGCCCTCCTTCTCCCAGAGACAGCCCTCCTTCTCCCAGAGACAGCCCTCCTTCTCCCAGAGACAGCCCTCCTTCTCCCAGAGACAGCCCTCCTTCTCCCAGAGATAGCCCTCCTTCTCCCAGAGATAGCCCTCCTTCTCCCAGAGACAGCCCTCCTTCTCCCAGAGATAGCCCTCCTTCTCCCAGAGATAGCCCTCCTTCTCCCAGAGATAGCCCTCCTTCTCCCAGAGATAGCCCTCCTTCTCCCAGAGATAGCCCTCCTTCTCCCAGAGATAGCCCTCCTTCTCTTAGATACAGCCCTCCTTCTCCCAGAGATAGCCCTCCTTCTCTTAGAGACAGCCCTCCTTCACCCAGAGATAGCCCTCCTTCTCCCAGAGATAGCCCTCCTTCTCCCAGAGATAGCCCTCCTTCTCCCAGAGATAGCCCTCCTTCTCCCAGAGATAGCCCTCCTTCTCCCAGAGATAGCCCTCCTTCTCCCAGAGATAGCCCTCCTTCTCCCAGAGATAGCCCTCGTTTTTGCAATGTAATGCCCTATTGTGGCCCAGTCTAGACTGACATGGTCTATCTCTAACTCTATGAGAACCACTGGACCTCTATACTGACATCGTCTAACTCTATCTTTGAGAACCACTGGACCTCTCTACTGGTGTAGCCTCTCTAACTCTATGAGAACCACTGGTCCTCTCTACTGGTGTAGCCTCTAAAACCGCTACTGACACGACCGTGACACTTGACACTGTCACTATGGAAACTCTTTTGTTTTGTCTAGCTGGAGCTTCTCCAACAACAAAAGAGTACAAAAATTAATTACACAGAAAATTGCTGTGGAAGAAAAGCCAATTATGGCCACAGGACCTTGCGAAGAGAGAAAAAAAAATGCATCACATAATTTTTCAATATCGTGACGGGTTTTTTTTTCGTTATTATTTTTAGTTGAAAAAGGAAATGTGCAAAGGTCATAGGCGGAACCTTTGTACGAGACTAGATGTAGGAGGGGGGAAGGTTGAGAAACATAAGGGCGTGGCTTCCCTACAATTATTCACATACTAACTATGCACATAATTGACGTCTCGTAATTATTGTAGAGTTAGTTCTAGCGTCCGCATAGACAAAATCTGATCGCAAATCATGTCGGGTGTGTGTCTTGACCTCCGCTGAACACAGAGTTTCTTCCAGGTCGCCCCCCCCCCCGAACGAAATGAAATTTATATAGAAATTATATACTTTTGACAGTGTCCGCCGCCCCCCCCCCCCCCAAAAAAAGTCTACCGCCCCACCCCCTCCCCCCATCCCCCCGAAAATTTCATGTGCGCCCCCCCCCCCCCCCGGAGAAAAAGTCTGGAAGAAACACTGGCTGAACACCTGAAACAGTCTCATCGAACCATGTGTATTCTATCAAACCCGTGTTATATTATAAATATTGATTTAAACTATACGTCCTTTCGTGTTTTCCACCTTTAACGTATATTTACAACAACAAAAATTATATATTTTTGGGGGTTTTGACTTTTTGTTTTCCTCCTTCTCCAGGTGTGTACGTGTGCGTGAGTACTTAGCTAGAGGGTAGAGCTATGTCCACGGGCTCCTATGACGAGGCATCAAACTTGGTCAAGGTCCCAGCATCCCCTCTCTTCTCCGGCGCAGACGACGTCTTCGACAAGCCCGACAACCCCGCAGGAGAATCAGCTGAAGCCCCAGCAGACGGCAGCAAATCTTCCTTGCCCGTCGCTAAAGGAAGCCGCTCTCCTTCTCCAAAAAACAGCCCGTTCAAAAAATCTAAAGCGGCCAAGGGATTAGGGTTTTTAATTAAAGCCAGAGAAGGCGCCAAAAAGGGTAGGAAGTCACCGTTATCGTTTAAATCGTTTTCCAAATCAAAGAAAAAACACGATGACGATTTTGATTTCGGCGTTGAGGATGGCGTTGAAGGGGAGGTGGATGAGAAGGTAAAGGCTAAGTCGGAACACTGGCAGGCGTTTCTTCAGATGCAAGATCGCATCAAGGAGAACGTGCTGAAGACCCAGACTAGCATTGGAAAACTCGCCTCTGGGCGGATCTCACCTTCAGGGCGCATCTCACCAGGAAAAGGCCGAGAAGATGACGATAGCAACATCCGCTTCACTAACCTAACCCAGCAGGACAGCGTATCCTCGGAGAAGAGCAGCGAGCAAGTGCGCTCATCCAGAACGGTCTCCGAGACGGAGGAGGCATCAGAGAACAATATCAACTACTACGACACGTCCGACCTGTCTACCCTCATATCTCTTCCACACTTCACCGTCTCCTCGCCTTCAGCATTCCAGACCAACACGGAGACAGACACCAGGTTCGACATGGACCTGGACGCATTCTCTAGTATCACGGACCAGCCCGCCCCCACGCCAGCCAGCAGCGGATCCTGTGTCACCACAGCTGAACCCACGAACCTAATCGATGAGTTTGACCTGCTCGGCCTCAACTCCGAACCCGCCGCCCCCGTCGTCCACAACCACCAAATGTCCACGCAGAGCTCCATCAATGAAGATCTACTCGGCCTGGACGATTTCTTATCCCAACCCGTCTCCAGGGATATGTCTCAGGAAAACTTGACCACCGACTGGTTTGGGGGGTCTTCCACTGCCCAGAGCAGCGCCCAGTCCTCCCTCTGCCCCAGCCCTGTCCAGTTCGACATTGAGCTCTTCTCCAAGCAGGGCAAGCTTGTCCCAGAGAGCACCGCTGTGTCAGACCTAGCCAGGTCACTCGTGGACGACTTCCTTCAATGGGGAGCCGGGAACTCGGACGAACCTCTCTCCAAAAACCCCTTCTCTTCAGACGAACTAACATCGGAGCAAGCTTTTAAATTAAACACATTCAACCCTTTCGCCACTATTGTGGAATCCGATGACACTGATTCCGGTGCTGATTTTTTAGGAGCTGTAAACGACAAAATCCCACCTTGGTCTGCTGTTTACGATAAAAAACCCGACCCGTTCCTAGCAAACATTCCTGCTGATACACCATCGACATTTTCGTCTTTTGATCCATTCGCTCCTGCACCACTAGATATCAACGCTAACGCTGCACCTTTAGAGGAACCCGTTGTTCCACCTCTTCGACCTGCTCAACCTGTGAAAAAATCTTCCAGAAAAGCCTCCAACCCCTTTCTGGTCAGTGATGAAGACATCACAGAGGGGAAGGTGGCGTTTGACGACGATTTCTTCGCTAGCCGGGGTATTTTCCATGCTCCTGCTAAAGACCTTGAAAGTATTTGGGGAGTGGATAATTCATCATCCACAGAGGTAAAACCTTTTGAAACCGCAGGATCCACGGCTAATCCATTTCAGGATGATCCTTTCACCTCGGATAACTTATCCACGGGTGGGGGATTTTCTGATGGATTTGGAGAAACGTCCACAATAGGCCAGCCAATCAATCCATTTTTAACTGCTAGCTTTGAGAATATAGCCTTCCAGACCCAGCCTTTAGCTGCAGACAATCCATTTGCTGCCATGGTTGGAGACAAAAGCCCAGCGCGAAGTCCTTCACACAACACAGCATTCGACTCTCTCATAGGAGCAGATTTAGACTTACCTAAAGAAACCAAACCCCTACCCGACGACAATTTGAACTTTGACCCCTTTGGTAAACCAGAAAAGGTTGAAAGCTTGCTTGACGACTTGGTAGATAACGTAGCACCAGCTAACGAAGGTGACACCCAGGTCGCTGAAGAACCACACAAACCTTCAGAGGTTCTCGACGACGATGATTTCACCGGAACTTTCAAGATCGACATCAAATCAAAGTCTCTGGCTGAGGTCTCCGGGCCCGTGCCCATGCTTCCTCCCCCTCCTAAACAACCGAAATCACCCTTGATGCCTCAGAGAGAAAACCCCTTCAACAAGGAGTCCCCGCCGGAGGAGAACTTCGCCAGCTTTGCCGAGATCGAGGAAGAGCTGAAGAAGAAAGCAGAGGCAGAAGCAGCAGAAGCCGCGGCCAACAAAGAGAAGAGGGACCGCCTGAAGTCCCTGACCTCTGAGGATAGCACGCCGGAGGAAGAAGGTCCCATGGAGCCGCTGGAGCCGTTCCATCCGGTTCATTCCAGAGATTACTGGAAGCTGATGGTGCGGCAGCCGACCAAGAAGAAGTTGGCGGGAAACCGGTTCTGGAAGATGACAATAGTCAGGCTGGCCCAGATCAAAGATGGTCCGGTCATTAGGTTGTACATGGAAGAAAAAGATACAGAACCTTTCCAGGTAAATAAGTCTTTTGTTTTTTCTTTAAATTTTTTTATAGAAATGGAAATTGAATTGGTATAACAATATGCTATATGGAGTGTATAACAATATGCTATATGGAGTTTATTACAACCAAAATGAAAGAAACCAAATCAAGTGTTAAACAAATTCAGGAAAACCATCCATAAATTGGTTATATTTTTTCTTGATTTCTGGTAAAGACTTAGGATAGAAAGTTTTTTTTTTTATTTTTATCTTAAAGTTATTCTATTTTTTTTTGTTATTTAATCTTGCTTCTTTTTAGTGCCTAAAAAACTTCTGATTGTTAAACCCTAACAAAAAAACATGTATTATATTCCAGAACCAAGTGTTGCTTGCCCTTTTCTCACTGCTTGTTCTATCACTCACAATTAAACTGACAATATTAATTTATTAATTGGGTTGACAAAGTTGGTTTTAAACTTGAGTCCAAATAGTTCTTATTGGGGCTTTGCCCCCCCCCCCTCAAACCATATTGATCGCTCTCTCCCCCCCCCCCCTGAAACAAAAATTTTAAAATATAATTTATCTAGAAAATATATACTTAACAAGTGACTTTAACATTGTTATGATAAACATTTGAATGTAATTACATTGATATTTTGAAACATGGCCTTTACATGGCCATTGTAGTTCAAATTAACTGTTAAATTTCTTGTCCTCCAGGAACTGTCCCTGTTTCAAACATAATTGTTACATTTCTTGACCTCCAAGAACTGCCCCTGATTCAAACACAATTGTTATATTTCTTGACCTCCAAGAACTGCCCCTGATTCAAACTAAATCTAATTATAACAGATTTGTCTAATTTTATGATCTTCAAAGCAAATTATATCGCTATAATTTTATTGATGGGTAGATTTTTCAATTGTCTAAAATAGAAATTACAAAGTTAGCTAGCCAGACATATTCACTGTCTACTCTTTAACAGCCCCTTCTTATCCATAGTTTCAGACATTGTTGAACTCTACTTTACCTGCCACTGAGACCATCTAATAATTTGTTACTTTTCGTTAAGAATTTATAATTTAGGCCAACCCGCGTTTTGAAAGTATAACAAGAACAGACAAGATCCAAAACTCACAGGTCATTAACCTTGTGTTATGCAGTCAGGGTTTCTTTCAGGCATTTCTTTGGGGCATAGCCTCAATGCATTATTGCTTAACCCCCACCCCACCCCCACCCAACTACAAACAAAGTTATAAAATTATTATTAATATAGAAAATATATAGGCCTACTTAGCTAGTGATTTTAACATTGTTATGATAAACATTTGAATGTAATCACATCAATATTTTGAAACATTGCGGTTGTGTTTCACAAATGTAACTGTAAAAATTTTTGTCCTCTAAAAACTGCTCCTGTTTTAAATATAATAGTTACATTTCTTAACCTCCAGGAACCACTCCTGATTCAAACATAATTGTTACATTTCTTGACCTCTAGGAACCACCCCTGGTTCAAACATAATTGTTACATTTCTTGACCTCTAGGAACTCCCCCTGAATATATAAAAGTTACATTTCTTGACCTCTAGGAACTGCCTCTGGTTCAAATATAATTGTTACATTTCTTGACCTCCAGGAACTGCCCCTCCAGCCCTGCTACTCTGTGAGTGATGTCTCCATGCAGCAATATGACCAGTTTGGCAAGATTCACACCGTAAAGGTATGCATTGAATGTCTGGGATTGATGTATTACACTTTTTAGGTTCCATGTATTTATTTGTAGAGATGATCCTCCAGGATTCAGAATTTTTAGTTTTTTTTTTTTTTTATAAAGGGATATTTTTCTTATTTGATGATAGGTGTTTTACTTTTTCTTATGGGTCAAAGGTATTTGTTAAATTGGTCATTGATATTTTTTCTACTTTTTCTTACTGTTCATACATTTTTTATTTTTTGTAATGTGATAGATTTTTTTACATTTTTTTTTATTGTTTGTTCTGATAACTGCTTTTTACCAAAGCTTTCTTTATGCTTTGTTATAATAATTTAATTGTTTTGTCTTTAGGACATCTACCACTTTAATTAATGCTTTATACCAAGTTTATTATGGCATAATAAAACTATTCTACTAAGACACTATTGTTTCATTAGGTGAAAAATCTTCTCTAAATTGATGTTATATCCTGTACAAGATTTTTGCTGAAGCTTTATATAAATTGATTTCAATTAAATCACACAAATGTTTAGGTTCTGTTTAAGGGTGTGGTATCTCAAATTTCACTTCTTAAGTGATTTTGCTTGTTTATGGGAAATACAAAACTTCAGAGAGAACATGTAGTAACAACTCTATCTTGTGTTGTAGGTCCAGTACATCTACCATGTAGTAAAAACTATATCTTGTGTTGTAAGTCCATTACATCAACCATGTAGTAAAAACTATATCTTGTGTTGTAGGTCCAGTACACCTACCATGTAGTAAAAACTATATCTTGAAGGTTCACTATATCTACCATGTAATAAAAACTATATCTTGTAGGTCCAGTACACCTACCATGTAGTAAAAACTATATCTTGAAGGTCCAGTATATCTACCTTGTAGTAAAAACTCTATCTTGTGTTGTAGGTCCAGTACACCTACCATGTAGTAAAAACTATATCTTGAAGGTCCAGTATATCTACCTTGTAATAAAAACTATATCTTGTGTTGTAGGTCTATTACATCTACCATGTAGTAAAAACTATATCTTGTGTTGTAGGTCCAGTATATCTACCATGTAGTACAAACTATATCTTGAAGGTCCAGTATATCTACCTTGTAATAAAAACTATATCTTGTCTTGTAGGTCCAGTACATCTTCTACAGAGAGAGAGTGGGAATCAGACCAGAGAGGATCACCCCCTCCTTCGTGAGGAAACCCAAGCCCAACATGATACTCGACCATGCCCCTCAGGTCTCGGAGCTCATCAAGCTAGGCAGCCTTGACATTGATGAGATCACTTCCTTTGTCTGGGCCATGGAGGACGTGCTCATGAAGCTCGAGTGCCACCGGGACAAGACCTTGACCTACACCAAAGAAGAGGTGCAGGCCGAGGTGTGGGACGAGTACAAAGCTGTGGTGGACAAGGACGGACACGTGTCCTCGCAGAAGGCTCGGGTTCGGATCTTCTTCTTGGCTTTTCTCACGGGAATGCCAGCTTGTGAACTTGGCATCAGCGATAGGAGAAGGAAAGGGAAGGAGGTCGTAGGTCGTCATGACATTATCCCAGTTAGAACTGAAGACTGGATAAAAATCGAAGACGCAGAATTCCACAATGTGGTTGATTTGGATACGTACGAGAAAACAAACAATATCCGGTTTCATCCACTGGATGCATGCCAGTTTGAACTCGTGCGGTTCCGTGTTCGACCGCGAGAAAACCGCGAGCTACCTCTACAGTTGAGAATCACCCAGGTCATGAAAGGTCGGCATTTCGAAGTGCGGGTGGATCTCCTGGTCACCGGCTACCACGCCTTCAGCAAAAAATGTGGTCAGTTTCCGTGTGAGGATATTGAAGTGCGCATCAAAATTCCAGAAGTGTGGATTTACTATTTCCGCTATGAGAAACGTTTTGGATACGGATCTCTCAAGGCCATGGCTAGAAAGCCTGGCAGGATCAAAGGTCTAGAGAGGATCACTATGATGGCCCAGGGGCTTTTATCTCCGGCCCTAATGGAAGCTTCAGTAGGGTCAGCCAAGTACGAGCATCTGTACAGGTCAGTCGTATGGAGGATACCCAGACTACCAGAGCGGAACCATGGTAAGCTTCATCTGACTTATGTGTTGTACTATCTTTTAACATATACATCATACACTTTACCATAATTGGTCCACATGATTACACTCGTAACACGGAAACAACTCTCATTTCTTAAGGCTTAGATTATGAGTATAGTAAAGCTATGTACCTCCACTAATTGTGCTCGAAAAGATATTTAAAAAATCATATTAAGTAATTTCTTTTATTAATCTTAAAATAAACTGCCAATTTTGTAAATTTAAAATTTTACAAATTTTTATTATTCATTAGTACCTTAAATAACTTAAGATTTTTCTAGAAGTTTAATTTCAGTTCTATCTTGGGATCCAGTTTATTTAAACACATTTCTTATTCCATTTCTATCTCGGATCAAGATTGTTTTGTCCTGTTAACTTATACAAGTTCTATTTTTGGAATAAGATCATATTAACTATACTTCCTATAGTAGTTCTGTTTTTATAATTTATTGATGTGGCTTTGCTATTATGTCTTCTATATCCCAAAAACATTTAGTATTTTTTTAGTTCAGTTTTTTTTAATTTTCCTCAAGTGCAGTGGGCCTACAGATGAAAAAAAAATTCAGAAGTTTAACATTTAAGACTCAATGTTGTAAAAATTAGCACATGCAGAGAACTTGAAAATACTTTTTTGACTGAGGCTTCAATTGTATTGACATAAACCAGTCCCACACTTCACACTGACATATCACATTTAGAAAATTTGTTGGGATATTATTTTATCATGTCCACCATTTTTTTTTTATTGTGTCCTCTCATCTGATAAATGGTAGGTTATTTTTTTTTTATTTCAGCATGACCTAGTTAAGGCTAATTTGATTACATTTAAATTACCTTAAATTTAGCAACAACAAGAAGAAAACAACATATTTTTTTACCATTTTTCACATTTTTGTTTAGATACCAAAAATATTAATAACAATAAATGTATCCCATCTGTAGAGTAACATTATGATAGCATGGCACATGATGTTTTTTAAATTAATCGACTCCACCATAAAATTTCAGGGCCAAAGACCATTAGCTAGACCTGCTACTGGTCAATACACCAGATATACCTACATGTCTATATATTTAACACTATCCCAAATCCCAATCTTAACCTTGAAAGTTAAACTTGATATCTATTTCCACTATATAAATATGAAGCTGAATATATGACATAAATAAAACATCAACATACGCATGTTATGGTCTTTAACATTATGACACATGTTCTAACATATACTGTTACTCTGAGGTAACCTGCTGAGGTAGATATCAATACATATGGATGTTATTTTTTACTGAAATATTTTTCATTTATACTTTCTCAAGTCTCAGATGATTGAAAATTGAAGAATAAGGTCATCTAAAAATAATCTTTAATTCAGTGGCGTAGCCAGGATCGTCTCAAGGGGGGGGGGGGGGGGGGGGGGGGGTTCCAATTTTTACCCGGGGACAAACTTTTGATTTGCATCCCCCCCTCAGACTTTCAATTTGCACCCGCACCCCCCCCCCCCCCCCAGACTTTTGATTTGCACCCCCCTCAAACTTTCGATTTGCACCCTCCTCATACTTTATTATATATATATATATATATATATATATATATATATATATATATATATATATATATATATATATATATATATATATATATATATATACCCCCCTGCCTATGCCACTGCTTTAATTAGCTAGAGAACAGTATTTTTCACATTACAGAAATTTCCCTCAAAGATCATAAAACATCAGCATACATATATTATGATCTTTATCCTCATGACATATGTTCTAACAAAGACTGTAACTCTGCATCTCCAGGAGCTTACAAAAACCACCTGTTTGTCCTTCACCTTTCACTGGGCCCCCACGATGAGGTTCCAGACCAGCTGGAGCAGTGGGCCGACTGCTCCTTCACCATGCCAGCATCCACAGTCTCCAAGGCTCAAGTCCGCTCCATCAGCGTGGAAAACCCAGACCCGCCTGAGAAATGGGTCCGGTATATCGCCAAATATAACTACAAGGTGGAAATAGATAATCATGTGGAAACAGAGTCTGACAAGGAGACCAGTGATTGAGGTTAACTGTTGATGTAGGGGGAGTAAACTGTTGATGTAGGGGAGTTAACTGTTGGTGTAGGGGGGTTAACTGTTGATGTAGGGGAGTTGATGTAGGGGAGTTGATGTAGGGGAGTAAACTGTTGGTGTAGGGGAGTTAATGTAGGGGAGTTAACTGTTGATGTAGGGGAGTGAACTGTTGATGTAGGGGAGTTAACTGTTGGTGTAGGGGAGTTAACTATTGATGTAGGGGAGTTAACTGTTGATGTATGGTAGTTAACTGTTGATGTCGGGGAGTTAACTGTTGATGTAGGGGAGTTAACTGTTTGTGTAGGGGAGTTAACTGCTATTTTAAGGGAGTTGACAGTTGGAGTAAATTTTGTAATGCTGATATTTGAATTACTTGGCTGATCAGACTGCTAGAGTAAATAGTAAAGTTTTGTATGAAAGTTGGTCATTGGAATGAGAAGAATATTCTTAAGGATCATTCAATGTCAATATTTATAGTCACACGTTAAGGAACATTGTACGGAAACAGAATATAAGCTATGTAATTGTAATGTGTAATTTTTTAAATTGTGATATTACATTTTTTTTCTGCATTTTTTATGTTCAGCATCAAAATATGAAATATAGACCATATTTTTATATCACTGCATTATACACTTAATATAAAAATATTTGTCAAACAGATTTAATTGAAAGAGCTAAACAGTTGTGAAACCATAATACTCCTAATTTTATTCTTTCATCATATATTTTCTGCATAACTTATTTGCATAGTTTATACATTTATTTGAAGTATTCATATCATTTTATAAAATGTTTTTTTTTTAAATAAACAAAATGTTTTTATCATTTTTCCTCCTAAAACAATAATCAAACTGGCACTTATCATAAATCAAAAGCCAGATTTTTTATTAGGTTTGTGAACCAAAATAATTTATTTTTATAATATCAAAATCATAAAATCAGTTTCAATATTTTCCTTTCCTTCTTTCTTGAATGTTTTTTTACATATTTGAGTTCATATCAAAGCTTTCATATCAAACGGCACTGGTTTCAAAGTTGTATGAATAGAGCTGCTTATCAACGTATACTATATAACCACATATGTAAACAGCTATATGTACAAACATAGACGGTGTTAAATGTTAAGTATACTACATCACAATTAACTACCCAAGTAAAAAAATTAAATCTGTTACATGTCGCAAAATATAATAAATGGACAGTGTTAATAAATGGGCTGGTTAATCAATACTGTGTATCTGATAGTTTTACTGTACCATAATGTAGGCACATCTTTTTAGTTTTACTGTAACATAATTTAGGTACATCTTTGTAGTTTTACTGTACCATAATGTAGGCACATCTTTTTAGTTTTACTGTAACATAATGTAGGTACATCTTTTTAGTTTTACTGTAACATAATTTAGGTACATCTTTTTAGTTTTACTGTAACATAATGTAGGTACATCTTTTTAGTTTTACTGTAACATAATGTAGGTACATCTTTTTAGTTTTACTGTAACATAATGTAGGTACATCTTTTTAGTTTTACTGTAACATAATGTAGGTACATCTTTTTAGTTTTACTGTAACATAATGTAGGCACATCTTTTTAGTTTTACTGTAACATAATGTAGGCACATCTTTTTAGTTTTACTGTACTATAATGTAGGCACATCTTTTTAGTTTTACTGTAACATAATGTAGGCACATCTTTTTAGTTTTACTGTAACATAAAGCAACAATTAACAGAGTATTTTGTCTATAATTTGCATCTGGCTTTAGAAACTACAGATTTATGAATTATTTTCTTCCAGGTTTTCTGTTATTTTAGTGCTCACTTTTTTCAGGCATGTAAGTCCACAGATCATATGATAGGATGTATATGTACTATGACCTTGCATGTGAATCGATTGTGTGTTCAACCATATGCCCAGGCACTTTTATACACTGCTAAACATTCCCATCTGAGTTTGGATGTCCTACAGGAAAAATTTAATTTTGTGACTTTTAGGTTGTCACTTGAGTTCTCAACCCATAAACAATTTCTTATACTTCAATTTACTTTCTTATAGTGCAAAAATGTCTTTAAATAAAATACTGCTCCTTGATTGTTCACAAAACAACAAACACAAACATGTTGTTTGTTTTTGTTGTTTTTTTTTGTTTGCTTTTTTTTGTTAAACAGCTGAAAATAATATAAAATACATATTTAAAACCTACATAATTTTACATTAAAAATTTATTTTGCTTTTAAGTAATGTTTTTTTTTACATTTTAAAAACAACTTTAAAAAGTGTAAAACAATATTATTGCTTACGTATGTGATATTTCATTTTTTTAAAACATATTTACTCTCCACAAAACTTTATCTTAAACCCTTAAAGTTTCTGAGCTTTAACCAAACTCAAACATTATAGAAACTAATTGTTTATTTAGTTCATCTCTGTCAAAATAGCATTTGAGCTATAGTGATGTAAAAAAAACTATTTAAATTTAAATTATTTAAATTATTTTTGTTTAAAAATTTCAGTACTTATTTTCTGAGCTGCTTGAGACTTACTTGGCTGTGAAATCTTAAATAATTTACTTTTTCAACAACTTTAATTAATTTACTTTTTCAACAACCTTAACTCAATTTTACTAAAATCACTTTAACGAACCACATTTTGTTTTATTGTGCTCAGTTTTTGTTATTCTAGAAGCAAATTAAAAAGTATTTTAGCAAACCACTTGATGGTAATGTTTAACCAAGATATTATAATTTTAAAAAGTTTTTTTATTATTGTTGCTTGTATTATAAGAAGACATTGTGTCCTTATGTTTTTTTTTTGTTACACAACAGCTCCACAAGTATTTTTTTAGCTTACATTGAATTTCACTTTTGGCATTCTTTTATTCAGGAAAATGGAATTTTATTTTATCAGATTGCTTATAGATCTGAAGATAGTATTTTAACATCTGTTTGTGTTAAATGTAAAAAGCTTTTTATCATTTTTGTTTTGTTTGTATTTTATTTTAAGATAGTAAGAAAAGTATTTTATTGAATCGAGAAACTATGTAATTACCAAGTGTATTATTAAATTAAATGTTTTTTAGAAACTTTTTATTAACTCATTTTTATTGATTGGAGTTTTTTTTAAATGTAATTTCAGTTAAAATTATGTTACTACCAAATGTTACATACATCACATATTGGTCAGGGAGTTTGTACGGTGAAGATTATGTAAGGGAATATTGTTTGCAACTTTTGTTTTATGTTGCATACAAAATTACTCTCAGATTTAAATACAAGACTTTCAGTTCAGGTCTTTTCCCTTGAATATTGGAAACATATTTTATTGTCTTATCTAGTGAGTAGCTGTTTGTTGTTTTATTTACAGAACAATTTGTAGTCATAATGTAATTTTAAAAAATAATTGTGCAATATAATTCAATATAGCTTTATATCAAATAACAGTATTGTCTTTATCTTTTATTTTTGTTTGTAGATTTATATTTATTTACTTTTATTATGTAGATGTTTTTTCTTTTATTTTTATTTGAAGTGTGATTTATACTTTCTCCAAATCTTAAATACTACGCAAGCTTTTTATTTTAGAGTTTTATATAAACTTCATTTCAGTTCTAGAATGTAATTTTTTTCCGAACATTCAGTTTCATAAGTTAAGGACCATTCGACTACATGGTAATGTTACCTTAAAGTTTCAAACAGAAAGTTTGCTGTTTTGTTTTGTTGCAAAGTTTCAGACAAGATTTTAGTTTTTTATCAGTCACGTTGTAGAAGTGGATTTAGCACCATATCACCACCTACTCTAGTACACTAGGGTGGGGTAATATGTGTATTACGACTAAATGTCTTGATGTTGCTTCTTTAATGTCCATCTGTATAAATATTCATCATACTTGTCTATAACTGTATCTGTTACTATTAAAATGTCCATTAACATTTATATGTCTACATATCAATAAGGTAAATTATTATGTACCTTATTGAATGGAAAATATGAGTATATGGTAGAATAAAAAAAATATTACGTAGTTTAAACAATATGTATGTAAGGTTTTCAATGTTTTCTTTACTCTCATTAGTTTGTATCTTTACCAGTTGTAATAAAAATATTTAGCTGTTAGTTTATGTTTAGTATATCTGAACTCAGATGAAAAATTGAAATGAACTCTTTTTATATTTACATTTGTATTCTAGTTTACATAAACCAATGTGTATTTATGTTTAAAATACATGTAACACTCTTACATTTTATGCTCTGATATTTTTGGTGTTAATGTAGTGATAGAGTATGTGACAATATCCCTTATGACAACTTGCTGTACAATTTGTAAAAACAGAAATGTGTACAGATCGCTGTTAAATTTTTTTTGAGCATCTCACTTCTTTTTTTTCTTTTTTTGAGTAATGAAAATTATTTTTAACTTTTTTATCCGAGAACTTGAACTTTAAAATTTTTTGACTGCTAGAATTGCGTTTTCTTTCTCAGTGTTGTGAAAAGTAGTAGCACCTCTAGCTCTCACCTCAACATTAATCTCCAATTCACTTTTTTAATCACTGGTTGTTTCCCTTAAGTGATCTCTAGTTTGATCTGTTGATAAATTAATTCAACTGTAAAATACAATGGATTTTTAGCTGTAGCATTTGATTTCCTGTTGACAATGTGTTATAATTGTACATGACTAAAGCTGTAAGTAGATTTAGCTCTGTGTGTAAGGAAAATAATTTTGTGAAAATGTAACTCTAGTGGCAAAATAATCTTAATCTTTTCAATTTCAATATATTTTTACTTCTATTTGAAGAAATCTTTTAAAAAAAAGTAAATAAAAAAGTATTTACACTTAATTTACACTTCATTTTTTCCACATATCAAAATGTTGAAATTTTAAATTTCCATTAGCAAAAATGTGATTTTAACAAATAGCAATTTAAATAGTGCTCTCCCCTGAATAAAATGACCTGTTTATAACTGCCCTTGTTTAGACAACTGTGATTATAGTGTGATCCTGGACACAGAATTTCTCGTGAAGATCTTACAACATGTTTTCATTGAGTCGGCTCATGGCTTTCAATATGTTTTTTGCTTCATTAACTCTGGAAATATTTATGTTGTTGAAATAGACATTCTTTGCTTTACAACAAGTTGTTCAGTAGGAAGTAGACCTTGATATTTAGACTAA